CAGCTCCCTGTTTCCCTGTACCTCTGCTTGATTAGAAGCGTGTCAAGGACTTTGAACATAACAGGAGTATACTTAGGATTGGTCTGTGGGTGGATGATTACTTTGGCTCAGGACCCTTGTATTCCTGTGTTCTCAACATGCACACAGGTTGACAAGAATTTCCTGGCTACTTTCAAAAAGAAAAGTGGGAGAAGTAATAGAATTTTAAACCAAGGGGATCTTAAAGCTCATTGGTACCACCACCTCAATTTACAGAGGAGAAACATGCCCAGTCGGTTAAGAGTTGCCCAAAGCACTGGACTTCTCTCTCTGGCCCTACACTCCTAGTTGAATACAATGTAGACTGCACAGAATAGTTATTGTGAATTCGGAGATTTTTGTATTTCTAGTCCTCATTTCAGAGCTATTTTTCTTCACATTTCCGATGTGAGTTACCACTTTCAGAAATTCCAGTCTTTGAAAATATAATTCATTTACAACTAACAATTATGATCTGAACAAATTATTGTTACTCCACATGTGCCTTTGCACCTCTAGTGGGTGGGTGGTGCAAGATAGTGTGGGAGAGGTGTTAACCACTTCCACAGAAATGAGCAGCTTTGTTTGCAACTCAGGTTTGTGTGTGAGAGTGACAACAACATTATTACTCGTTACTGAGGCCTCTTTGTGTCTCTTCTTCATAGGTCCCTTGTAACGGTTTTAGTGACATTGAGAATCTTGAGGGACCAGAGATATTTTTTGAGGATGAACTGGTGTGTATCCTAAATATGGAAGGAAGGTAAGCTGTAGATTTATCAGGGATTTTGTTAGTTTGTTTGTGTGTTTTAATAATAACCCCAGAATTAATTGCTGTAATTTGTATGTGACTGAACTGTGGTACATATATTTCCAAATATTTCATGTTACATTCATGTTGCCATAGTTATATTTTTGAAAAATTCCGTGTATATAAGGTAAATACACCAAGACAATTGATATTTAAAGAAATGGTGCAAAAATCCTTTTGGGAGAATTAATATTTAGTCCTCCTGTGGGTCAAATACTGTGCTCTGGGTACTTGTATCTGTATATCATTTGGGTAATACAGATTATCGTTTCTTTGTTGTCATCTCTTCATCTACTACCGCCAAATTTGCCTGTCATGAGTGGAATTTAAAAAATTTTTAAAATTTCTTACGTATGTCTTAATGTAATGGATAATTTTTTTTTTTTTTTTTTACAATTTCTGAATTCTGGTAAGCAGTAATCTTACTTTGGCGATGAACATTATAGATATTTGGTTGAGCCTTTTTTCTCTCCCGATTAAGAAGAATCCATTCTCTCTTGGTTGTTGCTTAAATTTTTTTATGCCTTATATTTTCTGCTGTGAAGGTTAATTTCCAGTTTACCTGAAAGATGACTTGGCTTCCAGCTTAACTGGAAAAAGTTAAGCTTAACCTACGAAAAAGATTTTCTGCTCTAAAAGTTCTAGAAACTTTACTAGTGATGGAAGATAAGAGTGCTAGTTTAACATCTTCCTTAAGAGAGATTATTGTGAAATGTCTCACAAACAGGGAGCAAGACATTTTTCTTGTTTTCAAGGGGGTTTAGGAGAGAGAAATATCTATCAGTGGAACAGCTGTGGGGAGAGGTAAGATGTGTCACTATTCTAGGCCTTGGATGAGTTCTGATGCAGAGGTCATTTTTCTGTTTCTATTTTGGTTTATCTATAAATGAATTGAAGTGTGATCTAATAGTCAGTATTGTGCAGCCTTAAAAATAAAAGTCGACCTGGCTTTTTTACATACATACACATAAACTTTTAAATACATAAATATTATACGTACTCAGTTTATTGGTTGTTTGGGGTTTGGTTTGATGTTTAGTGCAGACTTTTATTTTTTTTCTTATTTATGTTGTTTTTTTCCTTCCTTCTCCCTCCGTTTGCACTGCCCTTCCCAGCCCCCACTCCCGTAATTTATGATGACAACCTAGGTTGTATGCTTCCATGCTAATATGATATACATGCGGATGGAGGGGGATCATCACTTTACAAAACTGAGATCAAATAATAGGTACTTTTCAATATCTTTTTTTCCTCATTCAACATTGCCCCGTGGAAATCTATCCTAATCAACGGTAAAAATCAAATTCACTTTTGTTAATGGCTGCATACTGTTTTGTAGTATATACCATAACTTATTTAATCATCCCCCATTAATGGGTGACCACTTTCTTCTCCATTCTGTTACTATGGAGGGTGGTGTTCCTAGTGCTTTCATTTCTGAGTATTAGATTCCCGGGGATGGGTTTCCTAGGTCAGACTATAGAATGTTGTTTGAAAAACATAAGAGATAACATGTCCTTGAATAAGAAGACTTACCATCATGAAAATGTTGATTCTTCCAAAATTAATACATAAACTTAGTGCTGTTCCAGTTAGGATCCAACAAGAGTTTTGGGAGGGGAGAGTTCTGTGTGTTTTGAATGGATAGTATTGTCATAAAATACATACAGAATGGTAAATTCACAGGAGCCAGAAAAAACAATTTTTAAATAATCACAATGGGAAACTTGCATCACTAGATATTAGAACATATTATGACACTACCTGTTATCAAACAATACAATATTTGAATAAAAATAGATAGCTACATCAGTGGCAAAGGATAATTCAAATTCATGTCCCAGCATAACAGATAATTTAATATATTTAAACTCAGAGGGGAGAAGATGGGTTATTTAATGAATGGTATTGGATATAACTGAATATCCATCTGGAAGAAAGTAAAACTTGTATCATATACAAAAATTAAATTCCAAGAGATTAAACAACCTAAAATTTAAAACTGTCACAATGAAAATCCTTCAAGAAAATAGGAGACTTCATGTACAATCTGGGGATACCTCCTTAACCAAGACTGGTAATGCAAAAGCAATAAAAAAAATAAAGACAAATGATTTTGCAATTAAACAAATAGACTTGTATGACCAAAGAAACCATAAACAAAGTCAATAGAATCCTTAACATTTCTAAAAAGAAATTGAAAAATGCACAAAGGATAAGAGGACAGCATTCTCAGAAGAGCAAGTCCAAGTGGCTGGCAGTCAAGTAAAAAGACCTTTAAGTTCACTCTTCGAAGAAATGTTAAATAACGATGAAATATTGCATTTTTCCTTATCAGATTGGTAAAAAAAAAAAAAAAAAAAGACTAAATATGCACAGCCACTAAAAGTATATATCATTATAGTCTTTTTAGAAATTATCATAAGTATGTTACCCTTTGGCCTGACAAGTATTTTGAACCTAAAACGGGGTTGTTTTTTAATAATAAGGAATGCTCTCATGTTTGTAAGTATTTGGGGATGACGGTTTTCATGCAGGACCCTCTTTGTATTCATTCCTGGCACATGCTTGTTGTTTGGATATGGAAAGCATAGGAAGGAAGAAGGGTAGTTGGTGCTAAGGCACCAGTCCCCGGGTATTTAAAAACAGTTTACATTTATGGTGTTCTGTGTGGTCTTAAAAGAAGAGTGCATCCTACAAATAAAGATTTGAAGCAACATATTAAAAGGGCATACACTATATCTGGGAATATTGACCCAGAATGACCAGCACTGAGACATATTTCAGTAAAACCACTAGATTTTAAAGACAGAAAAGCCCTTTGAGGATCCAAGCAAAAAAGACAAAGCCACTTATAAGGGAGAACAAATCAGAATATCATTAAACTTTTCAACAGCAGTATTCTCTGCCAGAGAAAAAAAAGAGTAACACATTTAAGATACCCAAGGGTGGAAAATGTCAGCCAAGTATTTTTATATCCAGCCAAACTGACTTCCAAGTGTAAGGGCTGTGGAAAAACTCATCCACTTGAAAGAACTCAGGGACTTCTTAGCCCTACCTGAAAAATATGCTAGAAAATGAGCTTCAGACAACCAAAATAACTAAAGAGACCCTGATACAAGAACTAGTGGTGAACATTAAATACATATTTACTTGCAGAATTAAATCCAAGTGACAGGTGATAGGGGAGAGAGTATTGTATGTGATGGCTGTAAGCCCTGACAGTGTAGATACAACACAGCTGTCCAGAAGAAATGAGCAGAGGACGGGGGAGATTGTGAACAAAATATTTAGGTATTTTCAGGAATCATCAAGGTGATAAGAATATTGGTCTTGTTATTCTGGGGCTGGTGTGTGTGTTTGTGTGTGTGTGTGTGTGTTTATAAAAGAGGGCGAGGTAGAATAAAGCAAATGAGTGATTATGTGGTATTCTAATTCATCACTGGTATCCTGAAGAAGCAGGATTCTCCTGGAGGAAAAAAGATACAGATACGAAATAGAAGAAGGTAAAAACTGTATAGTTCTGAATTTGAATTAGATGTGTCAGTATGAATTCATGAGATATTTTATGTTTAAATACATGTAGGTGTATGTGTGTGTGTGTGTGTACACACACTTACACACTAGACTTCGTATCTGCCCACTGAAAAGGTCTAGAAACAATAACCAACCTAGTAGAAATGATCATCCCTAGCGCTCAGATTGTGGTCTTCGTACTGCTCCCCATCAAAAGCAGCCAGGGTTTTTGGAGAAACGCCTGGTTCTAGGTCCAGAGCAGGAAATGTAAAAGATGACCCTGGAAGCATCTGGGAAGCCTAGAACCAGGTAGTGAGAAAAGTAACAATATTTCATGTCAGGAGTGTTCAGGGGCCAATGTGAAGAGGCTTCCTTTGGCCAGAGATGTAGCGATTTGAGCGTCAGTGTGGACAGTGACTAGAATGGGTGGAAATACAGCAAATATGTTTAGCTCCAAGAGTTCATAATAATACTTAACAACAACTAATTGGTCACCTTTGGAGGATAACAACAACCCAAATTATTATTTTGGAAAACGATAAAGGGAAAGAAGTGAACATTTATCCTGCCTTTTCCTACATACTATGCCACCGGGGGACCAAATAGTAGATGAGGGGAAATTATTCTTTATAGAAGTATTCCAGCTACTAATTAAAAGGGATGGCTGCATTAGAACATCACCACTTTATGGCCTCTAATGAATTAACAGACCTGGGCCTTTGAGTAGCAATGGCTGCTGACATCACAGAAAGAGACAACCAAGGCATGATTGCCTCCTTAAGGAACTCACTACCGCCTATGAAGTCATCTTGCCAAGTAAATGGAATCTGAATCTGATCAAGCCTCTACGTCCAATTTACAGGAATTTAGAAGACAGAAGAACATGTTATGCTACACCATGTGGATGCAGTCAACAAATTCCAGACTATGGGAAAGTACAGGTCAAACAACCAGGTTTCTTCAACAAATAAAATACAAGGGGAAAAAAGATGAAGGGGGATCCTGTGAATTAAGAGACTTAAAAGCACGTAAACAGACTAGTCTGGAGTGTTTAGGGATACACATTTGCAAAAACTCTAGAGAAAAGCAAGGTAGTGATGACCATTGAGGTGTGGATTGTGATCATTGTCACGGTGGGGAGGAGAGGGCCCATGGGGAGCTTCTGGGGTTTCTGCAAAGTTCTGTTTCTTGGCCTAAGTGGTGGATACAAGGGTGTTTCCCTTATAATAATTCATTAGGCTATTCGTTTCATGTGATTTTCTAGATTGGTATACTTCACAACTCAAAGGTTCAAAAGCTAGTAAAACCCAGCTCTGCTCATTTTCACTTACTCCCTGAAAACTGGGGAGTCCTTTATTCATGAAGCCGGGCCAATAAGTTAATCATTGATTGTCTCCCTCCTACTTCCCATAATCCCTGTGCATATTTGGGAGATCTGATGAAGAGTTTCAGTCATTCAGCAAGTATTTATTGAGCACCTGCTGTGTGTCAGACACCATTCTAGGAGCTGAGGATACAGCAGTGAGCAACACTTAAAAAACAAAACCTTGCCTTCATGGAGCTCACACTCTAGTGGAGAAGAGAGAGGCTTAACAAAGTTAAGATATTAATTATATTAGAAAATGAGAAGTGCTATAGAGCAATATTAACCAGGGGAGAGGGTGAGGGAACGATGTGGGGGGGGGGGTACAATTTTAAATAGAATGGTGGGAGAAAGCCTTACTCAAAGCGACATTTCAGTCAAAACCTGCAAGGAGATGAGGGCACAGATTGCAGATCCCCAGGGAAGGAATGTTCTAGTCAGGAGGAATTGAGTGCTAAGGCCTAAGGTGAACTCCAGCCAGGTGTGAGGAAGGAATGGCCGGGAAACCAGCATTGCTGGCGGCTGGGCTGGGTGGGGAGGGTAATACAGGAACTGAGGGCAGACAGGTAACGGGGCGAGAGTTTAAAGGACCTTTTAGGTCATCATTAGGACTTGGGCTTTTATATACTTCGATCGAGGTGGAAAACCATTGGAGAATTTGGGGCAGAGGATTTTTGTGCTATGACTTAACATGTCACCTGGCGCCCTCTGGCTGCCATGCCGAATGTAGACTGAGGGGCAAGGATCAAAGCAGGAAGCTGCTATGATACAGACAAAAGAGGACGGTGGTTTAGATGGGTTGGACGTGCTCACATTTCTGATATATTTTGACGATAGGACTAAGAGCATAGGTGGATGGATTGAATATGGCTGTGAGAGAAAGCAAGGAGTCAAGGATGGCTCCGAGGGTGTCCTAACTGGATGGTGGAGTTGCCTTTATCTGAGATGGGCATGACTCTAGGAGGGGAAGAAAGTTAAGGTCTCATCAGATACTGAAGTGGGATGTGGTTGTAGCAGTTGGATATACAGGTGTGGAGTTTAGGGGAAAAGCCTGTTCTGGAGAATAAATTGGGGGGTGTCAGTATGGATGGTGTCTGAAACCTTGAGACCGGATGAGATGGCAGTGAGTGTAGAAGGAGAAAGGCAGCAGCCCAAGGTCTGAGTTACCCCTGGCAGGGGCTGAGCGGCCAGAAAGCTTCCAAATGCCTTTCTCCTGTCTCCTGAGACTCACCCAGCTCCCCTGACTTTTCAGGTTTCTCTTTCATTTTCTGTTAGTAAATCTGAAGCCAAATGGATAACTGTTTCTTGAATTTCAGCACGGCTAATTTAGTGTTAAATTACAAATGCCAAACCCTAAATTGTGCTGTCTGCTTCCATGATAAGTACTATATGCTTGTGAGCCAATTATACTTTTCTTGTTAAGTTGACTCTTAACGTGGTATGATTAGTGTGAAGTAAACAAAAGGATAATTGAGAATTTTAATATCTTAATTCTTATTGACTCATTGCTTGTTTGTTTGTTTATTTGTTTTTTCCTTTAGAAAAGCTTTGACCTGGAAATACTACGCCAAAAAAATTCTTTATTACCTGCGACAACAGAAAATTTTAAATAATCTTAAGGCTTTTCTTCAGCAGCCTGATGACTATGAATCATATCTTGAAGGTGAGACATCAGCATTGATGTTTTGATAGGCAGCTGAGTTGTCCTTAAGAGCAGCAGTGAAAGTGGCCCTGATGGAAAAGCAGTGGAAAAGTAAACTGTGCTACATGGGCTTCTGGAGGTTGGGTTGTATGGTCTGATCAGTTAGGTAGGCAGAACGATTAAATTCAGAGCTAAGATCTGGTCAAAATCTTTAGCTGTCAGCTAAAGAGACAGTGTTTATAAAGATGCACCATCAGGCTTCCCTGGTGGCATAGTGGTTAAGAATCCGCCTGCCAGTGCAGGAGACACGGGTTTGAGCCCTGGTCCGGGAAGATCCCACATGCTGCGGAGCAGCTAAGCCCGTGCACCACACCTACTGAGCCTGCGCTCTAGAGCCCGTGAGCCACACTACTGAAGCCCACGCGCCTACAGCCCGTGCTCTGCAACAAGGGAAGCCACCACAATGAGAAGCCTGCGCACCGCAACGAAGGGTAGTCCCCACTCGCCGCAACTAGAGAAAGCCTGTGCGCAGCAACAAAGACCCAACGCGGCCATAAATAAATAAATAAATAAATAAATTTAAAGATGCGTCATCGGTTCAAAGCATGAGGCTGACGTTTTAGCTAATGAGGTTAATTCCCTGTCTCTCTAAGCTTTGAAGCCTCATTTCAAATCAGAAATAAATGTGTCCAGTTTTGTCTCCATGTGACCTCGAGCAAATCCCTTAACCTCTCTGGTTGGAGTTTAATGAGGACAAAATGTTCTTGCACGTCAGTGAGTCTCGTTGTCCGTAATGAGAACTGAGTGGAAAGAAGTCCAGTGGACAGGCAAGATGAAGGGAAGAACTTTCTGTTCCTACTGAGTTGAGCAAGAACAAAATGTGACTTCATTTTTTAAAAACTATTTTAAATTCCTAGCATATTACACAAACACTCCCACAAATTATGGTTATGAACTACAGATATGACTCTTCCTTCACTTTCATTCCCTACTCCCAGCGACTTACCCAATTCATTGATTCTTTTTCCTTTCCAGCGTTTCTCATAGTCGTGTCTCCGTTCTGTTCTTGGTCTCACACAGGCTGTTGCCACCTCTCCCAGCAGCAGCTTTCTAAGTAATACTTACTTTCATGGGCATCACCCCCTCCTGCTCTCAGGTCAGCCAGCGTACAGTGCCAGCCTAGTCTGAAACCTAGCCTTTTCAGCACTCCATGTGAGCCTGCGACGTGGCCAGCTGATTTCCTTTTTGAAATTAAATCTCTGCCTGCTTTTAGTGCCCTCCATAATTCAGTCAGGTCTTTCCCCATCACTCTCTAAAATGTCCCATTTGCTCCAGCCAGGCCACTATCCTCACTGGCGCCATACACATACACCTGGCTTCACTTCCTCATTCGTGGTATCCGTTTTCCTTAGGATTCCCTCCTAAGGAGGGAATCCTCCTAAATCCTACTCACCCTCCAAATTCATTTCAGGTTTCCCTTGCATTAAGTTTCCCTGATAACTGCAACACTTGCAGATTTTACTGCCTCAGACCTACAGTAGCAATGGCTAGTAAACCCTATCCATCCTTTCTGTTTCCTGTGTGTGCAGGTTGTTTGTTTAATAGTCACTGTGTTTCTTGTGTTCCTTGTCCTTATGTTATGATCAGGACATACTCCAGTGTGTAGTGCAGATTCTTATTGATTGATCTTGTTGATTATACCATCCAGAAGGACATGAAGTACCTGCTTCAGTTCATTGAAATAAAATACCCTCACCACCCTGCAGTCTTCACATATGCACCCGGAGTCAAGAGGCATCTTCTGTTTATTCCACAGTCAGGAATAACTTGACAAGCTTTTATTTATGAAAACAATTACTTCTCTTTCATCTTTCAAATATTAAGTAATATAATTTTCAGCAGCTCATTCACATCAGTGCTGTGGACATTGGGTAGCTGTTGAAGGTTTTTAACTAGTTGAGTGAATAGAAATTGGCTCCAAGGTTTTGACCCTTGGTGACCAACTAGACTCATCTGATGCCGTTGACGAAGTCTAAGAAGCAGCAGTCGGATAGAACAGGCTGCGGAGCTATGCAGCATAAATCCCTTCAGCCAACAGGTGGGGGAACTGAGTCCAGAGGAGGCCCAGGAGCCATTCCCTGGCTAGTGGCAGAACTGGGGCTGATGTCCAGGTCTCTTGATACCCACTGGGGTGTAAGTAGGGGATCCAGGTCCTGAGCTGGTTTGAGACCTTGAATTTAAAGTGACTACAGCTTCCCGAGTGAAAACATCCTATAGCAGATGATCAGGTTAGCCCACTGGGTATCGGGTTAAAAAGTAACCTAAGGTGGTGAAGAGTAGTGATTTTCGAGAGACAGTATCTCTGGTGTGCTCTGTACAACTTATTAGCTGTGGGTTTCCTGAGTGTAACTCTTTCATTTCAAAGTCCAGTTATCTCCAAAGTCTATTTACTGGCTCACCTTTCAGAGGAATAATTTGTTGAAATGGTATATCTGACATTGAGGGCTTTCAACTATTTTTTTTTTTTTAAGTCTCACTGAACTGTCTTATAAGTTTTCAGAGTTGTTGGATTTTGAACTATAAGAAAATTAGGGAGAGAGAAGTAGCTTGAAAAGATCTCCTTTATGGTGTTTATTTCTCTTCCTAGTAGACTGTGGAGATGTGGCATGTAGCACACAGTTCTTTTGACTCCGTGACCTCTGAGAGAGTTTTGGTATATTAAAAAAATAATAATGAAATGTAATCTTTGTTGTAAGAATGTTGCTCCTTCTCAGTGTATTAGCAGCGGCCAGAACTGACATCTGAGATAGGAACCACATCTGGAGGAGTGGTGTAAAGAGCTGTGGCCCCAGGAGTCTGGGGTGAATGACCACTAATGAGAAAAGGTGGAAGTAAGAATTTATTCCGTAATTCTTGTTCATTTCAGGTGCAGTGTATATTGACCAGTACTGCAATCCTCTCTCCGACATCAGCCTCAGAGACATTCAGGCCCAGATTGACAGCATCGTGGAGCTTGTTTGCAAAACCCTCCGGGGCATAAATAGTCGCCACCCCAGCTTGGCCTTCAAGGCAGGTGTGGAATTGCTTTGGATCCAGCTGTATTTGCAAAAGAAAACATAGAGTAATTGATTAATTTGGGGAATTCTGCAGCGCATTCCCATTATGTCCCAAAAAATCGACTGATGATACAACCACAGGTTCACCTGGATGATGTAAAAGACCTCAAATACGTATTCTCTTTTCCACCCTGGGTTGGTAACACCTGATGTGTATTCTTAGGACATTGCCAGTGTCTGCATGTTAAAGGTTATTTGGGACACTGGTCACAACGTTATTTGTGCTTGTGTCCTCAGAGTAGGTCTCTGTATTTCAGGTGAATCCTCCATGATAATGGAAATAGAACTCCAGAGCCAGGTGCTGGATGCCATGAACTACGTCCTTTATGACCAACTGAAATTCAAGGGGAACCGAATGGATTACTATAATGCCCTAAACTTATATATGCACCAGGTAAATGTGTGTATAATAGAAAATATAATTATATATATATATATATATTAAGCTTATCTCTGATAAACTGTACAGTTATTGAGGGCAAGTAATAGATTTTGTTCATCTCTCAATGCCCAGTGGAAGTCATTTTTGCCTCTACTGTGAGGATATTGCTGGGGCTTTTACCTACTTCATCACAGAGCGTCCTCTGAAAACCCTTGAGGTAAATTCCTGACTAGAAATAGGACTTCTCTGACTCAGTGTGGTCAGTTGGCATCTTGTGAACACTAAACTATGAAACTAACCAGGTCTTCCTTTTTGCACTGCCTTCCAGGGAGACTGGAGGAAATACGTGACCAGCTACGTCACTGATGCTTGTTTTTTATTTGCTCCCTACTTGTCTCCGTTTTCGTATCTGTTCTGTTGCTCTCTGTGAGACTTGTATTTTCTTTTGTCATGTCTTAACACACGTTATTTGAAGTGGCCTTACGTTCTCCCTAGAAGCAGGAGGGCCTAAATCACAGGTCTGCACTTCTTCTGTGAAGGGCCAGACGGTGATTCTCCTTGGCTCTGCAGGCCACGCGCCCTCTGTCCTGACCACTCGGTTCTGCCGTGGTCGAGCGAAAGAAGGCACAAACCATACAGAAACAAAGGCATGTGGCTGTGTTCCAGTAAAACGTTGTATGTGGACATGGACATGTGAATTTCATATAGTTTTCATGTTTCACGAAATAGTATTCTTTTGACCTTTTTAAACATTAAGAAACATTAAAACTCTTCTTATGCAAGCCATCCAAAAACAGTTGGTGGGCCCGATTTGGCCCATGGACTGTAGTCCGAGGGCCCTGATCTAAGTAAATGAAATATTCATCCACTTAAGCCTGAAAACCTGTCCTCTCACCTGATGCACAGTAGGTGACCACTGAGAAGGTGTGGGGAAGGGGTGAGAAGGTGTGGTTCATCTCTGTGAAGCTAAAGCCTTCTTTTCTCTGCTAGGTTTTAATCCGCAGAACTGGAATCCCAATCAGCATGTCTCTTCTCTACCTGACGATTGCCCGGCAGTTGGGGGTCCCACTGGAGCCTGTCAACTTCCCCAGTCACTTCTTATTAAGGTGGTGCCAAGGTGCAGAAGGGTGAGCCATCCGTGACACATCGTGATTGCCCTGAGGATTCATTTCCACTGTGCTGAGAGGAGATGTAACAACAGAGGTTAAAAGGGGGCCTAGGGTGGTGATGGAACTGGTTTGCTCTTGACTGTATCCACGTCCGTAATCTGCTCGTGGGAGAAGTGCACTCTGGATCTTTGTCTTATTTCTCAGAACTGCATGTGAATCTCCAGTTATCTCAGAGAAAACATTTAATTTTAAAGAACAGGACTAAGAGTTCAGGATCTTATGTGAATCTCAGAGTCCCTTTGTTCCGAAGCAAATCAGTACAAAGAGTTCTTAAAGAAACTGTTACTTCCCAGTCTTCCGTAAAATCTCCCCCCAGAACAGAGGGAAGGAGGGAGGGAGAAGCAGGGGAGAGGGAACTGGGCCTAAGTTCTTCATCCATGTGCAAAAGCAAATATTCAAGTTCTCAGCAGTGGCACTCCTTTTAGGCAAGGTTGGTGACCTGATGTGCATTTTGCAGACCAGGTTAATGAGTTCTGTTTTGTTCTCTTGTTTGAGACCTGGTGTCCTATTGGACATAAAGCTCCTTTTCAGCTATAGTCTAGAGAGACGGGTCTCTTTAAAAGTGCCATCTAGAGGGAAAAGAAAGATAGTTATTTAATTACATCCTGTTACTTCAAATTACTTCTTAATGACTGGCTGTGGTACTGTTTGGTGAAGTGATGAGTGGAATGATAGAAAGTAGCTGAGCTTTGAAGTTTGAATTTAGACCTCGGTTTCCTCTGAGCCTCAGTTTCTTCCTGTGTAAAATGGGGCTAATGTTTTTCATAAAGTGGTTTGGAGGGTTAAATGAGAGAACCCAGTGCTTTACACACCTGGTGGAATTTCTCATGCTGGTCTCTATATTTCCACCTCCGGGTTTAGGAAATAAACCTTGTCTGTAAGTTGGCGGCTCCACGGTATTCTTCCTTATCCCTTTCCCTCCTCTTCTCTCCAGAGGAGAGGTTAGTTTGAAAGTATTTGTTATTTCCATGCAAATTTTAATATTTCATTACATGTGTATGTTTCCTTGAATAGCGAGTACAGGCTTCCCTTGTTTCCCAGATATAATCTGTTCCTTAAAGTGTATTGGATGGTTTCTCTTTTGGATAGCAGGCACCCATTTTCCATTATTTTAAATGAGAAAAGTGCTTTTTCAGCTCATTCCCTCTCCCTGAAAAACCCAACCAATTTCCCCAAATATCTCTAAAATATTCTTAAATGCTTATATAATGGTCCACCAAGGATTTCTGCATGATATAAAGCATTTAAAACACCATTTACCATGTTACTTACCACAGTGACCTATTGCTGGGCACATTTGTGTGTGGTAACAGGATTGTTTTTCCTTCTTTAGGCTACAGTGAGCATACACCACAATGCAGATGAACAATGAAGTGGTTTATTAGCACCCCAAGCACCTGGCAGACACAAACACTGAGACCCATAAAGGGCTGGCCCGCTGGGGAGAGGCCGGGAGGGTGGCGGGAGAGCGCACAGCTGCTGGGCTGCAGGCCCTTTGCGTCCTGACTGGACTGCTCCTCGGGCCTGTGGTCTCTGTGTCTGCACCAAGACCATAGTGTCGCGTTGACCGTGGCTTTATCGTTAGTCCTAATGACTAGTAGGGCGAGGCCCCCACGGAGTCCTTTAGAATTGCCCTGGCTCCTCTTAGCCTGGTGTCCACGTGCAGCTTTAGAATCCATTTGTCAGGCACCTCGAAGCTCTGGTATGGTAGCTGGGCCCAGAGCTCCTCTGGATGCGTGGATTCACGTGAGGAGTGTGGCCTGCTTGCGTTTCCCTGCTCAGTCTGTCTGTCTGTAAACACATCTCCTTCCACGTTTAAGTCATCTTTAGTGTCCTTAAAAAGATTTTATTGTTTTCTACATCCAGCTCTTTGATATCTTGCTAGATGTATTCCTGGGTACCTTAACTTTTTGTTGCTATTGTAAATGGTAATGTTTAAATTACGCTGTCTGTGTACTGGTGGTGTACAGGGGCATGGTTGATGACTTAGATCTGGGTCTGATTATCAGCACCTCTGCTGGATCAATTATTAGTGCTAATAATTTGCTAGGTCTTTCAACTTTTCTATGTGGACCGTCATATTGTCTGAATTGCGACAGTTTTATTTCTTCTTTTTTTCCCCAGCTGTTGTATGTTTGTGTCTCTTTTACTTATTCTGCTGGCTAGGTCCTCTTGTAAACAGTGAATAGAAACAGTGATAGCAGGCACTCTGCCTTGGGTATGACTTTAAAATTTCATCTCAAGCGTGATGTTTGGGAGCAGTACCTTTCATTGAGATGATCAAAGCTGCCTTCTAAAGTTGTAATTTGGGACTTCCCTGGCGGTCCAGTGGTTAGGACTCCACGCTTCCACTGCAGGGGGCACGGGTTCCATCCCTGGTCGGGGAACTAAGAGCCTGCATGCCGCATGGTGTGGTTAAAAAAAAAAAGGAAAAAAAAGTAATAAAGTCGTAATTTGCTAAGAGTTTTATTAATAACTAGGATTTTTTCCCCCAGAATTTCTTTTCTGTGTCTACAGATAGGATGTGGTTTTTCTCTTTCAGTCTGCATGTGGTAAAATTTTTTAGCATTCAATCCTCCTTTCATTCTTAAGGAACATCTAACTTACTCATATGGATTTTTATAATACATTGCTGTGTTTGATTTGCTCATATTTTATTTAGAATTTTTGCCTATAAACTTGTGTGCATTTGTGTGGTTCTCCTAGACCCAAAAAAAGGGTTGAAGAGCATTCCTTATTTCTGGAACAATTATATATGTCTTGCTAAAGGCAGGCTATTAATACGACTCAAAGAAGAAATCTGACTGGGCTTTTTAGCTGCTGAAGAGAAAGTCTCTATCAAAGTGAAACAGTTGCTCAAAGAAAAAAAACACAGCTATCCCTGAAACAAAGTCCCACCTCAATCCCTCAGGAGTCCTCGTAGGGTGAATGCAGTATCGTTAGAGGTCCTAAGGTGAGAACCTGCTTACGTGACCGCCTACCGGCCCGGCTCGGCATGGGCCACCCCCATGTGCGAGAGCTCGGGTCGTGGAGGGCGGTTCCATGGGAGGAGTGGGAGGTGGAGGCCAGGGACACAGCTCTCTGGGGTCTGGAGCAGGGTCCCAGCCTGAGCCTCCCGAGCGCATCTGCAGAGCTGAGGCCAGAATCCTTGTGGCCCCAGGCCCCATAACTGTCATCACAGCCTCAAGGGGCCCGGGATCCGCAGACGTTAACTGCTGCTACTCTGTGAAATTAATAGACTGGCTCAGGCATTCCAGAAATATTTCTCTCAACCAGACTTCTGATAGATAGGCCTGGCAGTGAGTTTTAGAGTTAATCTCTCTAAAAAACTATATTAAATGGCATAAACCAGCGCTATTTCTCAAGTATCAGTGTACTGCAATCTTAATACAGCAGAGCGTGTATAGAGGTCAGATTTCAGACTTTGGGCAAGGCCTTGATATTTTCAGCAGAAATGCCACTGTGTTAACATTCATTCTCTGATTTGAGCTACTTATTACGGGGTTTTAAATATTGACTTGTTCAGCTCTAATCTGAGATACGACTCACTGCGTGTGCTCTTTGGATAGGGCAACCCTGGACATCTTTGACTACATCTACATAGATGCTTTTGGGAAAGGCAAGCAGCTGACAGTGAAAGAATGTGAATACCTGATCGGCCAGCATGTGACTGCAGCGCTGTATGGGGTGGTGAATGTAAAGAAGGTGTTACAGCGAATGGTGGGAAACCTTTTAAGCCTGGGAAAGCGGTAAGGTTTTCTTGGTTTTCCAGTACTTCCGCGGCGTGTGCGTCTTTGGAGGTGCAAATTACCTTACAGAGAATTTAATTTAATGAGACTACCTGTGATACAGAGAAGCAGCGGATGCTTTGTGGCACAGCTGGGACAGCTGCAGCTATCTACCCACCATGGGAAAAAACTGGTTCCCATGATGTAATGCTATCCAGACTTAGGATGTGCTGAGTGACTTTTCTTTGAGATCTTTGCAGTGGACTTGGGCGAGTTCTCTTTTATAAATGCTGAAAGCATTCTCCAGTAACAAGAATATTTTAGACTGGCAACAATGATTTTTCACCTCCTAGTGCTTTGCTGTCTTTTAATTTATACCTTTCTATCACTTAGGTAAGAGGACAAACAAAAATATGAAAGAATCTTGCTTCTGAGTCCAAGGAAAATTGTCTTACAGGGAAAATAGAAATTTATAGATTGGAGTATTAGTTTTCTGCCTAATGGCAGAATTTTTTTTTAAATAAACTTTATTTTTTTAAGAACAGTTTTAGGTTCACAGCAAAACTGAGCAGCAAGTACAGAGAGTTCCCGTTTACTCCCTGCCTCTGGACACACACAGCCTCCCTCATTTCAACAACCCCCCTCCCGGGAGCAGGGTGTTTGTTACAGTTGATGAACCTACCTTGGCACTGTCATTATCACTCCAAGTCCATAGTTTACATTGGGTTTGCTGTTGATGGTGTACATTCTGTGGATTTTGACAAGCATGTAATGACGTGTACCCACCACTGTAGTGTCATCCAGAAGAGTTTCACTGACCTAATAGTCCTCCACCTATTCAGAGTCCATTTTTAATTTATGTACAGTGTTATCAAGGTGACTCTGAAAGGAAAACGGTTACAATTTTAACTTAGTGGAGTACGAAATTTCTATTTCCTGTGTATCTTTTTTTGTTAAGAGTGTTGTAACTTTGCTGAAGAGAGGAAGTATCAGAATCAGAGAACGTGTGGGATTTGTGTCCATTACTTTTAAGATCTGGGCCTTGAAAAAGAGGGTCTTAGCTCGGAAGCAAACAGGATAAAACACAGATTTCTTTCCCCACAGGGAAGGCATCGACCAGTCGTACCAGCTCCTGAGGGACTCCCTGGATCTGTACCTGGCGATGTACCCGGACCAGGTGCAGCTCCTCCTCCTCCAAGCCAGGCTCTACTTCCACCTGGGCATCTGGCCAGAGAAGGTAATTATTTTACTTTGATGCTTTGCACCTGCCTTAGAGAGGGAACTCCTAGCTGAAAGGCAGCGCTTACAAGTTTATCCTTGTATTAACCTGGAGGATAAACACAGATTTATTCACAGTCTCCTGGTGTTGACCCATCGATTTAACTTTTTGTCTCCTTTTATTCTACTAAAAATTAGTTATCCTGCCAGGAATTGCCCATTCTCTCTGTGATCAGTGCCTTAAACTCCCAGAACCACAAGGCCTCGGCCCTATCTCTCACCCACTGGTGCCCCAAAGATGTATTTTCCCCAAGCCACCCTTCTCAAGGGGAAGCAGAAGTTTCCATATTCATCCTCCAGCTGTGCTGTTAGCAACTAAATTGACCATATGTAAATAGCCCTGCATGGCATAGGAAAGTGAGATCTTAGATGTGTTCAGGTCCAGCTGCTGGATGCTTTTAGGACTGCTTATGCCTTTGGAAACTGTTGGGTTTTACTGTTCCACTTGGCTCTCTCAGGTTTGTGACACCCCCTTTGGCCAGCAGGAAGCCCTGTCAGAGGCCACCATGTTTGGGGTCAGCACCACTCCTCAAGAGCTGCAGGTGCGGCACATGTATGCTTCCAGCCATGCAGCACGGTGCAGGAGCAGCTGCCCGCCCCCATCATGCCCTTGCTTGGCCATGGGAATATGTTAATAGTCCACTTTGTTTAGACAGCCCGGTGAGAGACTTGAATTCTAAGCTCTCACAGGAACATCACCATAAAATCATCAGCCCTGTCACTAGAGAGTGGTAAAATCTTCCTTGAGAAAGTAAATAACCTCAATGACTCACCGTTGCTTAGATTTACATTGCCTCATTGATTCACAGTGTCAGAGATCTACCGTAGTTCTAGGAAAGGATGCGTCAGTAGGAAAATCCCTGAGCCCCTGTCTTCAGATGTCATCTACAGCCCAGGCAGCGGCTGTCCTCCCAGGACACCCATGTGATGCGATAGAAGAGTTACTGGAACACTAGGCTGTCTACCAAGGTCACCACCTGCTTCCCACGACCTTGTCCAGAATTGAATAGTTTACTTTTATTTTTTACTTGACTTATTTTTGATACCAGGATATACGTAACTAATTTCCTTTCACTTTTTACCCTACATTAGTTCAGGAATTTCATGATAATTTGTAAAATGCACGGTTCCTCATAAGTAGATTCTGTACTTAAATTACACATCAGCCTTAGAAGGAGTAGGGTTGACATCGCCTTTGGGAGGAACGTCTGTAGAAGCCCTGCCATCCTTCCCTTTGATGACAGGCTCAGTTTAGGGCTCCTGTGCTGCCTCTGGGGGAATTTCCTTGGTATCCTCCTCAGATGGTCAGGATTGCCTTCCTTCCAAGCAGATGTCACTGGAACAAGTTCCAGAATTGTCACACGCAGAACATTTTTCCCCATGATGACCATTCATGGGCTGCTGGGGTCGGGCACCTAGACGCTCCCTGCGTCTAAGCTCAGGAAGGGAAAGTGGCTCCTTCGCCATGTGTGGCAACTGTCTCGCCTCCATGAACTGTGCTATAACTGCAGGGGGGACCCCTTGACAGCGGAGGAGAGCTGGGCCCGAAGTGAGGAAGGCCCCGGGGGCTGCGGAAGCAGTTAGAAAAGGGTCCTTTCCGGGGAAAGGGCTTGAGGTGGCCCTAGAAGGCCGGGGAGCGATTTCAGAGCACAGGGAAGTAGGTTCCTCCCGTGGTGGGGACGGCTGGGAGAGCTCAGTGCTGCACACCTCCAGTACCTTCTGCCAGCCCTTTGGGGTGGCTACTTTTGTTTTGTTTTGCTTTTTGCCCTTTTACAAACAATGAAACCGAGGCACCGAGAAAAGTTAAGTAGTTTGCCAGGGTCTCCTGCACAGAAGTTGATGGCATCAGGCGTTCAGATTCACAGCCCACCCACACGCTTCACCCCTGTGGACCAGGGCCAAGGCGAGATTGTTTCTGAAGAAGCCAACGGAAGGGCATTTTCTCCTGCTGCTAAACCTACATCCTTGTTCCGATCCGTAGTTATCCCGTCCCTCCATTTTCCACATTCGCTCCCTGTTTCTGCTTCTGCTGTCAGCATTAAACATACTCAGGTCTCCCTCATCTTTGAAAAAAGAGAAGGAGAAGCCTCCGACGACAGCCTCTGGCTTTGCCCGTGGCTCCACCTTACCTCTCTGCTCCCAGCCTGGTCAGGATCCTTGTGATGGCCTCCCCCTCGCCTCCCCCGCACTGCGCAGAGCATGGGGCTCCATTCCCACCCCTCCCCCACGTGAACTGGAAGCCCATGACGCTTTCTTGCTAAACCTTTCTCTTTGTTGCCAAATCCAGTGGACACTTGTCTTTCCTTATCTTTCTTGATCACTTGGAAGTCATCCCCCCGCTCAAAACACTCTCTGTTCCTTTGATTCTGGTCCCCTCTTCCCAGGCTCTCGCTAGTTGCTGTCCTCTGTCTCTCCCTTTAAGGCTCTACACTGTGGGGCAGTTTCTAGACTTCTTTCTACTGTGCACAGTTCCCCTCAGTGATCTCACCAGGTCTCCTTACCTCAGTTACCGTCTGTAGGTCAGCGGCTCCCGAATCTCTGATCTCCTGCCTCTGAAACCCCTCCCTGCCCCTCTGCACCGTGACGGCCCTGAGCTCGCCCTTCCACAAAGCTTGTGCGGAGTGTCTCGCAGCTGCTTAACCATCCTTCTGCACGAGACTGTGCTCTTAAAGGTCAGGGACCATGTCTTGTTCTTTACTGTAGCTATTCCCCTTGCTCTCAACACAATTCCTGCCACCCAGTAGATACAACATTTTATTTGAATGAATGATTAAGAAATGACAGAAATTCATTAGCTGTGAACGAGGAAGGAGGCTCGAAGAGAATATCCCAATTTTCCAATAAGGGTGGCCACTTTAAAAGTTGAAGTGCGTGGGGAACTGACCTGTTTCGGGGTAGGAGACAGTGTTCCGTCTGGGATATGCTGAGTTTGATTGGCATGACCTGGAGCCATGGAGTACCACGCTTGGTGGGCGCTCTTGGCATCAGCATCTAGTAGCTGAAGTCCCAAAAGTAGAAGAGCCCACAGAAGTGGACGTCCAGAGGTTGGAGCCAAGAGCTTCAGAGAGATGTCGGGGGAAACCTGCAGTTAAGAGGACAGAGCAGGGTCCGCAAACTCTGGCCCCTGGGCCCAGAGCCGCCTGGCTTTGTGAATACGTTTTGTCAGCACACAGCCGTGTCCATTTGTCTGCGGACTGTCTCTGGCTGCTTTTCAGCCACAGCGGCAGAGGGGAGTAGTTGAGTCAGAGCCCACAAAGCCTAAAATATTTACTTTCGGGCCCTTTACAGAACAAGTTGCCAGTCATGTGCAACAGACACCCCTGTTCCAAGATCTCTACTCTGGAGGTTGTGGGCTCCTGGATTCCAGGCCTAGGCATTTAGCTGTAGACGTCATGGTGCCCCACGGTCAGCACGGCTTTTGGAAACACACTGGGCACATCTCATGGTGTCTTCTCCATTTCTGCCCTCTCCCTTCACCCTGTCAGCCACACACCAAGGGAAGGACGGGAGTAATCATCCCTGAACCTTATCTCCCCCTCTGATACTCTGAGTTCAAGACTTCCTTTATGCTTTGAAGATTCCACGTTATGTTTCTTTCACTTATCTGGTGGGAAGGGGCTGCCAGGAACAAAGGGGAAGCTGTGTCTATAGAAAAGTTGTCAGCAGTAACTAGTTGGAACTGCAGAGGGGAACGCAAGAAGCTTACTGTGAAATCACATGCTTTTAGCTACAAGGGACGACTGTTGTTAGTGTCCCCTACATTACAAGGCCACTGCAGGGGTGGCAAGTGGATGGGATTGGCTCCTGGCTGGTACTGGTTGAAGCTGGGTCTGCTACTTGGGGTTATACCACTCTGTCCATTTTTTATGTGTTTGAAAATTTTCCTAACAGTCAATTAAAATACTCCTCTTCCTGCTTTGATGTGAAGGTGACTGAGACCTGGGGTTGCGAGTCAGCCCCTGGGTCCGCATCCTCACTGCACATCTTCATAACCCCATGACCTCAGGCAAGTTGCTTAACTAGTGTGGAGGGCTTTAACTGAATAAGGGATGTGGTTTTCGGTAAAATATTTTCTAGTCAGATTAAGTCTAAGAGGGAGGATGCTGATTTTTGGCTTATGATAGGTTTAGGTAGGGAGGTAAACGGTGCATGATAGTGGGGATATACCCTAAAAGCCTAGAAAACTTGAGGGTATTTGAGGGGTAAATAAATTTTAAGTCTCGTGCGTTAAGGTTAATTTCAAGTGCTAGTACAAAGCCCAGGATGGTCACTGTAAAGGCAGTTAATTTTAGGTATGGGGGCGTGGTTATTAGGGGGACCATTGTTGGGTGGATGTTGTTGGAGATAATAAATCCAGCGAGAACACAGTTAGTAGGAAGCTTGATGGAGTTAATTAGGAGTGGGTTGTTTTCATTGATCAAGGTTAAGGGGGAGAAGTGAGGGGGTCCTAGCAGTGTGCAGAAGGGGATGCGAGCACTTGGGACGGCTGGGAGGGGGGTGGCGACTGGAGTTACTAGCAGGGCTCAGGCGGTGGTATGAGATGTGTTAGCAGCTTCGGTGATCAGGCCTTTAGGAGCCAGTGAGGAAAGGCATTCCTGAGGTTGCCCTAGTAGTGTGGAGAAGATAATGTGAGCACTATAGACAGCTGTGAGGGAGGTGGCAACTAGCGTTATTCGCAGGGCTCAGGCGTTGGTACAAGACGCGTTAGCAGTTTCGATGATCGGGTCTCTAGAATAGAAGCCGGTGAGGAAAGGCATTCCTGTCAGTGCTAAACTTCCAATAATAAGGGCTGTTGTGGTGAAAGGTATAGCTTTGAATAGGCCTCCTGTTTTTCGAATATCTTGTTCGTTGTTCAGGCTGTGAATAATAGATCCGGAGCATATGAATAGTATGGCCTTAAAAAAAGCATGTGTGAACATGTGCAAGAATGCTATATGGGGTCGGTTGATACCAACTGTTACCATTATTAGGCCTAATTGGCTGGAAGTGGAGAATGCGACAATTGTTTTAATGTCGTTTTGGGTGAGGGCACATATTGCTGTGAATAGGGTGGTAAGGGCTCCTAAGCATAGTGCTACTGTTTGAATAAGTTGATTGTTTTCTGTTAAAGGGTAAAATCGAATAAGCAAGAAGATACCTGCCACGGCTACTGTGCTTGAGTGGAGTAAGGCTGAGACAGGAGCAGGACCTTCTATTGCTGAGGGGGGGGTCAAGGGTGATGAAGTCCAGAATGAGCAGATTTTCCGGCTGCAGCTAGTACGAGTCTTTCAAGGGGGAGATTTGAGTGATTTAAGTCGAGTATAAAAATTTGTTGCAGGTCTCATGTGTTTAGGTTAAATAGGAATCATGCTATTGATGTAAATCCAATGTCCTGATGCGGTTATATAGGATGGCCTGGAGAGCGGCTCTGCTTGCGTCTGATTCCTCTTGAAATTGGCAGTGACTGGACGGCTGACCTTCAAGTTGGGAGGATTAAATGAAGTAAAAAATGTGACAGGCTTGGCACAGTGACCAGCAGAGAATAAGTATTCAGTAAATATTGAGATCCTGCAAATCTCATTCTGGAAGACAAGATTGGGTTTTGAAATAATATGTTACATGGCATAAAGCTGTAGTTTTCACGACACTTTTATAGGCTCACAGTGTATCAGGAAATAGGGCAGTTACTAATCATTATTTGATAAGTGAATAAATTAATTCAAGGGTAAAAACAGCAAGTTTGACTGATCCGGGGCTAGAGTCCCGGCTGCTCTGTCTGCTCAGCATCCGTAAGTGGGAGGAGACCCGTGCCACAGACCCTCGGCTGAGCTGTGAGCGAGCGGGGCTTGCTAATTGTTCACGTGTGTTAGCCTTCCTTGAACTTGTATTTTTCCGTAGAGGCAGTGGGTGCAGTAGAAAGAGCAGAGCCTTGGGGTCAGGCAGTGCTGCTCTGCCAGCTAGTCCCATAAACTGCGGGGAGACGGGGTTTCCCCCGTCCACCTGAACGCTGAATTCCACTGTGAGTTAAAGTCACTGAAGTGACCAGGAGGATTTCAGAACCCTGCCCCGCACATCTTCGTTCTTCACAGATAGCATCATAAATGAACTGTGCTGATTTGCGTCCATCACTCCAGTGCCCTCCCTGTGACCCCTTCCCCTCTCCTGCAGCACTGAGGCCAGTCTGTCACTCAGCCTCTTGACCTCGATTGAAGCAGCTTCGCATTTCTTTTTCCTCTCAATTCATGAGTGGCATGTTGAAAACGTTTCCTGTCTGTATGTAAGAAATTGAGTCCCCCCACTCACCGAGAATGTTGGAAGCTGTTAGAGTTCACCTAGTCCGACAGGCCCTCGCGTCCCCATCCTGTGCGGACCCCGGTCCCCGTGTTTCCAAAGAGTTCCTCCCGCTCACGCTGGCTGCATTTGGATGCCGGGGCCAGTCCCCAGCACGTGAAGTGACTCTGGGCGTACAGAGCGCCGACGGGGTGAGAGCCTGTGGGTAATGGAGACTCGGGCCGTCAGCCCGCCTCACCTCGCTGCCCTTCGTCAGGTTACGTAGGTCTAAATCCCTTGCCAGGAAAAAGAAAAGGCCTAAATGAAAATATTATCTCCTAGTCTTTCTGTCTTGTCTTGAAGGTGCTTGACATCCTCCAGCACATCCAAACCCTAGACCCCGGGCAGCACGGGGCGGTGGGCTATCTGGTGCAGCACACGCTGGAGCACATTGAGCGGAAGAAGGAAGAGGTGGGCGTGGAGGTGAAGCTCCGCTCCCACGAGAAGCACAGAGACGTCTGCTATGCCATTGGGCTCATTATGAAGCATAAGAGGTGAGTGCCCCGGCGCCCGCCCCCCGCGCGGCTGCAGAGGACACGTTACCGTGAGCCCTGCTTCTCGGAGCAGCGGGGGTGCACCTGGAGGGGACCTGGCCCGATGCAGCAGCGACCGAGGCCCATCGCAGCGAGGACCGAAGGCCAAACCATATCTTTAACCTTTTTGTTTTTTAAGAAGCAACTTGCTTTCCTAACGGGGAGCTCTTCTACGGTGTTTAGTGCCCCTTCTCCGTGGGGGATGGAAGCCCTGTCCGCCTCGTTCGTCCTCTCCTCTCCTTGTTGTCCTCACTCTCTCCAGTGGTCTCGCTCTCCTTGGATCTGAGGGTGGTAGGGACTTGCTGGGTCCTGGGGTTTAGACATGGCCGATTGACGAGGCAAAATGAAACTGCCTCCAGAGCAGCTGTACCTATTTACGTCCCACCAGCAGGCCAGGACCTGAGAGGTTTGATTCCCGCCAACTTGTGTTAGTGCCAGACCTTTAAAAATGCACTTATGTGCTAAATGGCAAATGGCATTTCATTGTGGTTTTAATTTGCATTTCCCTGGTTACCACCCAGACTGAGGTTCTTTCCCTGCATTTACTAGCCATTCAGGTTCCTTTGATTAAGTGCCTCTTCAGGTATTTTGCTTTTCATTTGAGTTGTTAGTCTTACTGATTTTCAGTTTCTTTATTCTGTGTATTAGTCTCTATGTGCAGATAAGTTGCAAATACCTTTTCTCAGTTTTTGGCTAGTGTTTTCCATTCTTTTATTACATTCTTTTTTTTTTTTTTTTAACTTTGTTGTGGAAATTTCAAGCATATGTAAGAGTAGAGAGAGGAGTATTACAAACCAGATGATGTTCCCATGTCCAGCTTCAACAGTTATCATACAGTTTGTTTCACCCCCTCCCCCTCCTCCCTGGAGCAAATACCAGAGGTCATTTTCCTCTGTAGCTATTTCGGTAGGTAACACTGAAAGGTAAGGGCTCACTTTGTAAAAAAGACGCCTTTACCATTCTGTTGTCATATCTAAGAAAATAATCAGTTCGTTAACCTCATCAAATATCTGGTGAGAGTTTGTGTTTCCTCAGTTGTCCTACCATGGATGGATGGATGGATGGATGGATGGATAGATAGATAATAAGAGGGGTTTATAAAGAGAGGCAGGAGTAAAATTGATTTAGCATGGAGTAAAAGCAGGTGTATCTCTAAGAATGTAAGCTTCAGAGAAGCCAAGCCACTGTCTCTATATTTCATAGCTGCCATGACAGGGCCCCAGGGAGCTGATCTGCCACTGCTCTTAATGTTAATTAGGTATGGCTATAACTGTGTCATCTATGGCTGGGACCCCACCTGCATGATGGGACACGAGTGGATTCGAAACATGAACGTCCACAGCCTGCCTCACGGCCATCATCAGCCTTTCTATAATGTTCTGGTGGAGGACGGGTCCTGTAGATATGCCGCCCAAGGTAAGTAGCTGGTACTGTCTGTACTTGAAGCACACGTTTGAGCACGCAGATTCTGCAGGCACAGACTGTCAGTCTATTCAGAGTTGACAGGTGTCCCATGGCTGTTAACCTCATCAGAGCTGGTACTCAGCTAAACGTGGGTGGGTATGCATTGGTGCGGCCATACCACGAGTTACCCATCCACCACCCCTGTGTCTCCCCCTCAGTCACCACCACAGCCAGGACCCCGTTCCAGGCTGTTGCCGACCTCTGTTTTGATTGGTCACTGCCTCTGCCAGTCAAAGTCCTGCTTCCCAGGCACTGCCATTGGCTCCCTGCTGGCAAGGAGGGTCAGCTTGTGCCCTGCTCATACTGCCTGCCTGAACTGGAGGGCACCGATTGGCACTGTTGGGGGAGCCACCGGAGCACTGAGACTGGCAGCCAGTTAGCTGTGCTCCCCCCGAGAGACGCCCCCAGTGGCCACTCTGGGAACTGCAGTTCACAGCACTGGCTCGGAGGGCACCTGGAAGAGGCAACAACAGGTAGGTGCTTGGTAGGTGTTTGGGATCACTGCCAGCCCTGACAGGTGCTCGCCCAGGGCTCTCCTCTTCTTTGTCCCTCCATTTAGTGGGATGAATTTATCGCATGCCTGCCTGTCAAGGCATTCACAATGTTCATTTTATTAATAAAAATGCTAACGTAGTGCTGCTCTGTGACAGCAGCCTTCTAATGTACATTAGCTGCATTTGAGAACTGTAGTTACCATCATCATCGTCATCATCGTGCGCATTTGATACACAGGGAAACTGAAGCACATAGAGATGTTTAAATTTTAACTTACAGAGTATGCGGCCAGGCAGCTTGGCCGAGAGCCTTCCCCATAACCATCATGCTGCACCTTTTTGCGTCTCACCTAAAGCATCATGTTTGACCTAAGTTGATATTGTGTTCTGGTAAATCCAATAATAGAAATGTTGGATGTATAAAAATCTCAGAAGTACCGAAAAGACTAGGAAAAGTTTCATATTAATTATTGTTAATTCATCAGAAGCTGGGAGAGGATCGTATACAAGAGGAATTCCCTTTATGGAGACCACAGCTCACCTAACCTCCGTCAGCACAAGGGGAGTTATCAAAGGGGGCGATGTGCACCCCATGTCAGATGAAGGCACTGACAGGGATTTTATTTAACTTAAAAAGCTTTGTCAGATTAAAAAAAAAATTATACTACAAATTTAAAAACTTAAGTTATTTGGAAATTGCTGAGTGATGTCAGATGAAGGCACTGACAGGGATTTTATTTAACTTAAAAAGCTTTGTCAGATAAAAAAAAAATTATACTACAAATTTAAAAAATCAAGTTATTTGGAAATTGCTGAGTGATTCTCGGACTGTTTGCACCCGCCACTGATCGCTCAGTGAGCATTTCCCACTGCGCGTCACAGAGCGAGTCACGAGCACAGAGGAAATTGTCTTGTTGTCAACACTGGGGTCCGTGTCTGTACCTTCACCTTGTACACTCATTGCCCGTTACGTGGAGTTGATATCAAGACTTTGAGTATCTGATATTTGGGTTTCTAGAAACATTTATATTAACTTTAAAATGGGCTTCTTAGAGTAGGTGAAGCTGGGTATTTGGTTTTAAGATGTTCTGAACTTGTCCAGTGTCTGCCTAGAAGATTCAGGAGTTCATCCTAATCTTACCTTAGGTCAACGTGAGCTGTAAGGTTTACAGTCAGAATACTGTAATGACTCTGTTAAAAAATAAATAAATAAATAAAGCTGCTTGTCAGTTTCACACTCTAAAATTGATTTGAAAGAATATCGCAGATAACATGACCTAAATACTTAATCATACCTCTTCTAAGAATAAGGACATTTCTCTGCATTACCATAGGTACATCATTACACCCAGCAAAAAAAAATGATTTCATAATATCTAACATTCAATCAATATTCAAATTTCTCAATTCTCACAAGAATAGCTTTACATGTACGTGTTTATTCATTTTTAAATCATGATCCAGACAAGATTCAGGCACTGTGTTTAGTTATTATGTCTCTGTAGTCTCTTTTAGTAAAGAACCGTTCCTCATTTCTCATCTTTTTTCCCTTTTTCACAAGACTTTGACTTTTTGAACAGTCCGGGCTGGTTGTCTTGTAAATTGTCTAACATTCTGGATTTGTCTTACTGTTTCTTTGTCTATGTATTGTCTGTAAACTGGAAGTTAAGCCCAGGTTTGGTTAGATCAGGTTGCTGGTTTTGGCTGGCGTGCTTACTCTCAGGTGCTGTGTGCATCACGTTGCATCTCGTCCAGAGACCATGGGGTTCCGTGTCCCACTGTTAGTGAGGCAGAGTGTGGTCATTGGCTAAGATGGTGACTTGCTATAAGGGACAGTTTTCCCTCTGAAGTTAACAGGAAATCCATGGGGTCAAACTGGGGCATCCTGGGTATACCCTGTTCCCCAATAACCTTTATCCTTATGTTTGTTTTAGCACCTATTGGCTCTTCTTGCCTAAATCATGATGTGAGAATTGCAAAATGGTGGTTTTCTACTGCGGGTATTCCCTCGAGCTCTGCAAACAAGAGCTTTGCCCTGCTTCCCCCTCTTCCTCTGTCTCTTTTCTCCTCCCCCGCCCTCGCCTCTCCCCCTCTCTCCTGCCCCTCTCCTCCCATAGATTCCTGGGTTTTTTATTTAGTCAATGTGTTATAATCATTTGGAACAATTTTATTCTCAGATTAGCCCACATTTAGCCAGTGAGCGACCTTGAGAGGGTAAATTTTAAAAGCACTAGTTTAAATATGTTTTTGAACATTTCTGGGTTAATATATTTGCATTAAGTTATTTTGTTTTTAAACTATTTCGTGATCTAAATTTTCAGCCTCTGGCTCCAGTGATCCTAGTAATCTGGGCAGAGCCCATTAATGAATGCTTTTCTGTTTTTTTCGCTCTCCACAGAGAGTTGAAGAGTAAATTATAATCCACATACCTGCGTGCCATCTTCAAATACTTGTAGTCTGCACAATTCAGTTTTCCCTCACTGTTAATGGGCTGTACAGCATCTTGCATGTTCGTAATTTTTGTTACCACTAGGGGGCGTGCTTTAGTATTAATATTTTCTTGGTACCAGAAACTCCTGTCTCAACTTCCCTACGTACTTCTTAGTACTGAAGAAAATGACTGTCACAGATGCTCTGAATTTAAGCCAGCTGCCCATATTGGAAGGTCAGGAACTCAGCCGTGGTGTGAGAACCTGGCTTTTACATGTCTTCCGTGTATAATGGTAAAGCACCTGGTTGAACGCTTGGGCCGTGGCGTGCCCTCACCCAGTGTCAGTTTCCTTTTCCATATTTGGTCTTCCACTTCCAAACTAAGTTTCCACCATCCCCCCCTCCCCCTCAGCACGCACACACACAAGTCTGTGGCGGTCTGCACGTGCTGGCAAGGGTGTGAGGACTCCCTGCGTCAGGGTTGCGGTGTAAATTTTCAGCCGTCTCAGGGCGGTTTGGCTCTCTCTTAAATTGTCAAAATCTCAAGTGCTCTTTCTCCTCTGACCTGGCACCTCTCCCCTTGGTTCCGCCACTGGAGACGCACTGACACAGGGGGCCTGTGGTCCCCTTGTTATGACAGCAAAGCAGTGTCATTCATGGGACTTGTCTGAAAAATGGGGGTATATCCAAACTTCGGGTAGCTAAGCTGCAACCAAATAAACCAGTTTCAGGTAAATGCTTACTGTATGTTTTATAGGAATAAGCACACATAAGGCAACACAGAATTTTCCTTGAATGCATATAATTATATTTAGCTACGTATATGTATGTTCATAAAAGAAGGACTAGAAAAACTCACAGTCAGGGGCGTCCCTGGTGGCGCAGTGGTTGAGAGTCCGCCTGCCAATGCAGGGGGCACAGGTTCGTGCCCCCGTCCGGGAAGATCCCACATGCCGCGGAGCGGCTGGGCCCGTGAGCCATGGCCGCTGAGCCTGCGCGTCCGGAGCCTGTGCTCCGCGACGGGAGAGGCCACAACAGTGAGAAGCCCACGTACTGCAAAAAAACAAAAAAAAACTCACAGTCATAGTGGTTTCCTCTGGGGAGGGGCTGATAGGTGCCCCCAGAGGACTCATGGGTACTGTTTCCAGACTTGTACAGGAATGTATTCGTGTATTTTGGGGTAACTGAAATTTTTAAATAAAATAAGCAGACACATTTCTCTGAAAATTTTAGGGGAATCAGAAATTCTTCCCAAGATTTTTCCAGGACTTTTAAGTAGTCCCTGTTTAATATTTTGCTCTTTATTAAGTTTTGTATCACTTAGATTTTTTATTCCTCTTCAAATTCTTTTTAAACTTATTTAGTGGATTGGGAATTATTTTCCCCTCATAATACTTAGTTGTCAACTAAAGTGTTTTATTTTTTCCTAAAAAAGTTTCTTTTATGAGTACATTTTTCCTGTTTTGCTGGGAGTCCAGGTAGATAAACACTGAATTCAGTCCATGTTCCTGGTTAACAGCCAAGAGCGGGGCTGTGAGCACCCCTTTCCTGGCTTTCCCAACGTTCTGTCCGTACTCTTCATGCTTCTTTGTTTGGGGCCCACGTTCAGAATTCTCTGCAGCAGCTGCCCAGTCGTGCTGTCCTTACAGACACGTGATCATGACCTGACTGTGACCTTTCTGCCCTCCTACCAACACTCAGATGCCAAGCATTAGCTGACACCAAGCTGCTGCTTAAGGATACATAGAGAGAAAAAGAGAGGGAGAGAAGTGAGGCTGAAACATGTGTCTGGCTTTCTTCAGAGCAGGCTCTGGGCACATTTCGGTTCAGACAGCTGTGTGTTGGGGTGTGTCCTGTGCATTGATTTAGAGGCACCCTGGCCCCTGCCCACACGATTCCGGCAGCAGCCCCCAATCACGACAACCAGAAACGTCTTCAGACGTTGCCGAGCATCCTGTCAGAAGCAGGATGGCCCCCGGATGAGGACCAAATGGACTTTTCTCTCTCGGGGGTAATCCCAGGTTCTTTGCCCTCCCTCGAACATCTCTGGGGCAAGAACAGCCGACAGGGGAAGGCAGTTGGCCGGGTTCAGGCCCCAGGCCGTGGTTGCATCCCCCTGGGCCTCCCCAAGGCAGGTACGCCCTTGACTCATCGCTCACTGGTGGAGGGGGCAAGACAGCGGATTTTCTCAGCCAGTGGCATTTTAAAGCATCCAACTTTGGGGGTTTTTTGTTTTGTTTTTCAACATTTGTTGAAAATAGATGTAAGGAAGGAAGTAAAACCATCCCCAGAGCTCTGGTGGTAACAGTAGGGAGAGGTCAGAGCTCATAGAGCACCGTCCCCACAGCCTGCCTTCTGAGGCAGCCGTGGCCCGGCCTTCCCTCCTCCCTGACCTCTGCTGGCGGGACAGTGCACGGCAGACGCTTCTCTTCAGCTGCTTCCCCAGCCCTGGAACTGGGCCATCTGGGTTTGAGCCCCGGCTGAATCCTTGGGCAGGGTCCTCACTCCTGCTGCTGTCAGCTTGGCCGCAAGAGGGCGTGTGACCAGAGCTCTTCGTGGAGCCTTCTGAGCTGGAGGCTGTGCACGTCCCGCGGTGCCTGGCGCGCTGTACGTGCCCAGCTTAAAGGAGTTCACGTAACATGTGTAGCTGTATGTGCATGTCACGTAGCAACGCAGGTATGTGGCCTTCCTGGCTTTTTATATGATAATGTGTTTTTACTCCCACTTCCCCCATAGCGTCTTGAAAACAGGTTGCTCGTTTTCCTGGCTGTCTAGGATTTTGCTGAATTAATGTGCCATCATTTATTTACATAGTGACCTGCAGTTGGACATTTAGATTGTTACTGCATTTTTTGCTCTCCTAAGCGATGCTGAGGTAATGTCTGAACGTTCATCTTTGCTCGTGATTGGTATGTGATGTCCATAAAGGTGGTGTTTTCTCAAAGTGATACATCCCCAATTGCAGTCTGAATAAACAGCCTAAAACAACTACAAGCGCAAAAGTTCTTTAAATCCTCCCATCTTGTAAAAAAAGTTACAGCTTGGATTACAAACTCTTTCCCCCTCTCTTGAAAGACAAACATCTGTTACAGGCAGGCTTCTGAAAGGCGCTTGTGTTTATCCTGTGTACTCTGGGTGGAGGGCACTGAAGGTCCTGAACATGCGTTTCAGGATGTTTAACGAGCTGCTGAAGAGATAACCTGCTGCACCCTTGGTGTTAGTTAGCCCATCAGCTAGGCTCGCGCAGGGACTCCCTGAATTGATTTTGGCAATAGGCGCTAAGTATGGTTCATATTGATCTGGGACGCAGTCAGAGCGGGGAGGCCTGCCTGGGAAGCTCCTTTCTGGTCCAGGACATGGAGGGTGGGGGTGGCCTTTCCTGACTGGGGGCCACACGCAGTCTAGGGCCAGGGCTCTATGGCCAGTGAGGAAGGGCCCATGAGACACTGTCCTTTCCTTGGGCCCATGGAGGAGCCTTTTTTCAAATAGCCTGGGGAGGGAGAGGCCATCTGAGAGGATTTCAGGCTTTAAAATACCTCGCAGGGATTATCACCTCTTTTTTTCTCATTCCGTTTTAAAGGAGTCTTATTTTCTATTGCTTTCTCTAGTGGCAAAACGGGGAGCACGGAAGGGAGGTGGTGTGGTTTTCCTAAGAGATGATAGAGATGCCACAGCCCATATCCCTGTAGGGTCTAGAGGTGCGAGCCGTTTTTCATTCCTCCTCTCGGACCCCAGGCCAGCCCTGTGAGCCGGGTTCTCGCCCTTGGAAACACTGAAGGGTGCTGGGGGTGGTGGGAGGGCGGTCCCCAGTAGCAGACTGGGAGGAGGAGGACGGCAGGGAGAGACGTGAGAGCGGCTGCTCAGGCGGCTTCAGAAGCTTCACCGCTGGCAAGAACCGAGCAGGCTAGGCCACCCTCGGCCCACACGTGTGGCTTTGTGTTGGATCAGGTCAGAGAAGCCTGCTGAGCCCCTAGTGTGCAGACCCCGAGGGACTGCTGGAGTTTTGCTCAGAGAGAGGGAAAACACTTGTGTTCCTTGCAAAGCTGGAGGAGGACCCCGAGCTCCCTCCTTCCATCCTCCAGTGGCCTCGCCGCGCCGCCTTTTCCTGTTTCCTCCTCCAACTTCTATAAACATCTGTCTTTTCTTCCCCCCCCACCTCAAAAATGCACTCAGAACGGGTGATAGGAGGGTCTCTGGATAAAAGATCCTGCAGAAGTCAGCTTTAATGAGAATATCCGTGTGCCTCTCTGCCAACAGAGAACTTGGAGTATAACGTGGAGCCTCAGGAGATCTCACACCCTGACGTCGGACGCTATTTCTCCGAGTTCACGGGCACTCACTACATCCCGAACGCAGAGCTAGAAATCCGGTACCCAGAGGATCTGGAGTCTGTCTATGAAACGGTGCAGAATATTTACAGTGCAAAGAAAGAGAATGTGGAGTAAAGTCTAGGGGGACATTGTACCTTTGCTGCTGCTGCTATTTTCCAAGAGAACAGGATTCCGGACGGAGATGTCTCCACGGATCCCTCTGGATTCACACCGCCGGGAAAGCCACTTAACCAGTAGCGCTGATCGCCGCCTACTAAGTCCCGTGCGCTCTCCTTCAGCTGCAAAGACAGTGTCGCTCTCCGCCTACACTAGTGATTCATTGAAAGGCACTGTGTTCGGTGGCATGGCTTGTACGCTTGTCCTGTGGTGACAGTTCGTGACATGCTGTCTTCATGACGTCTCACAGTCGACACTCTTATAACCGTTCTTTTTCTTCACTTCCCATTGTGTCTGTCTACATCGTCTCAGAGCGTTTCATTTGCTGGACAGATGGGGTTGTCCGTTTGCAGTCATTTCTCTCTGATTTCTCTGTGGAATGTGTGCACTCCTCAGGCAGGATCATCTGTCTTTTTACCCTGAATTTAGTGCTGATCCGGGGCTGAAGCTCTAGGTGATCTTGGCAGCATCTCAGCTCTGGAGTCATTAACTAACTAATGGTAATCAGAAGCATTGGAATTTGTTTTTTTCTAATTCTTAAAACAGATTTCAGGCATTTATCCTTTTCTTTATTTGAATTGAGAGAATGACACAGTTTTGCCTTCGGATTCGTCTCTTGGATTTACGCTCATATCTCTACAAATTATGAGTTTTCTATTTTATTACAGAAAATTCTTTGAGAAGATGCATAATTAATAATAGCCTTTGTGAATGGGGTTTTCCACATTCATCTGCTCTTCCTCCCTTTAAAATAAGTGGTTTTTTTTAAAAAATCTACTCCAGTATCGTAAGTAGATCTTAAATCAGTGATGAGTTTTCTTTGTAGTAGGAAGTACAATCTGCTGTTAAAATGTCTGCTTTTAGAAACCGTACTCCGTGGTCTCCAAAGGCCTGAAAATGAGGTTTCACTTTTATAACCAGAAAAAAGAAAAGATAATGAAACTTAGAAATTAAAAAGGAAAGGGGAGTTTTCATGCTCCCTGTCCTTCCTTAGAATCACTTCAGGACCTTTTTGAATGTGGCGGGGTAGAAATAAACGGAATATTTCCAATTTTAAGAGCGTGTGCCCTGTGGGAAAGGAGACGTGAGTGTGGCCCGTGTTCTCGAGTTACCGTTGCCGTGAAAGCACCAGGAGGAAGTCTGTGCTCAAGCCGCTGGGGAGTCCGGCTGCATAGCCAGGCTCTGCTGGCACCGGTCCTTTCCATGTTCGTGGTACCTGAGCGTGAAGGTACCGAGTCTTAACTCGGCTCCGGACTCCCACCGTTCTCGACCTGTCCCTTCTCCAGCGGGCTGACCTTGTAGTTAACCAGCAGCAGCTAACTTCTGGAGTTAGGACCTAGTTACTTTACTCTAAGTTTAAAAGATTCCAGTTGCTCTAGTGAATGAGACTTTCGGGGGCTGTGATCCAGCCACGCCTCGCTGCCTGTCTGACCATTTGCATGCAGTATTGTCACACCATGTTTGATGGCTGCCTCTCGTTTACCCTTTGGAAACCCTGGGATGACCAAGGTTTGGGGAAGCTACCTGAGACCACTTACTAGCAAGTGACAGCTATTGAGCAGTTATGGGAAAGAGATGGGGATTTGGCTAGCCAGCTCCCTCCAGCCCCCATCAGCTCTGGTCCAGGGCCCGTGTTCCTCATCTGTCCAATCCAAAGTCAGATGATTTGGACTTGCATTTGAAATTGTGACCACTCAAAACACCCGGCCCGTCTGAGGTTGGGGGGTTTTACACTACTCTCATTTAAAGGTGAAAGTTAGATACTATGGCATTAATATTAATGAGATGCATTACTAAGAATCTGTGGCGCATGCTGAGAGTTACAATTGTTGGTTTTCTGGTTTGATTTCCTTTTTTCTTAGAGTAACATCGAAGCCAAGAAAGATGGTTTTACCTTTACTGACCCACTGTAAATATGTATCTAGACTGTTTCTAAATGTGTTTCTTCATGAATGCTTCATTTGGCTCCAGGAAGCCTGTGTCACCTGTGTAAGTTGGTCTTTGGGCACTTTATATTTTTCTAAAAATGTGTTTTGGATCCTGTACTCTAATAAATCATAAGTTTCTTTTTAAAATTTTTCGAAACGTTATCTCCACTTTAAAAACCCCTGTTATAAAAGTAGAACTTTCACAATGTTGAAATATTAAATATTTGGATATAGTAACTTCTTTTCTCTTCAAATGAATGCCAAGATTTTTTTGTACAATGATTAATAAATGGAACTTATCCAGAGAAACCACACAAATGGCCTGCCAGGTTTCGTTCCAGAACAGAAAGCCCAGCCGTGACAGCAGCAGAATCTCTCTCAGTTCTCATTCTGATTGAAATATGCAAAAATTGGCTCTACTGAATTTTTCTTTACATCAGTGAGCGGACAGAGCACCGTTACATTATGATTTCCCTGCCAAACGTTAATTTTTCGAGCTGGCTAGTCATCTTGAGAGTGTCCAGTTGTAACGCGAAGATTTCAGCCTTTTAATTATGTCGAGTTACGTGTTGTAAAGTGAGAGTTGCAGTGAGAGTTGGTGTGTCGTTAATGCTGACCCGATAGCGGCACGCACGCGGCGTTTTCCGCAGCGTCCCGCTGAGCGCCGCTTCCCCATGCTGTCACACGTGTGCTGCCACACACGACATGGAAAGGGATGGTCACAGCTGAGCCGTCGCCAGTTTCGTGCACTGCGGTGTTTCTCAGAGCCTCTCACATGCTGTTGTACTTTGTGACTTTCCAGGAGGGGAGTGTAGTGGTGTCTTCCCAACTTCTAAGACCCTGGAGCTTTCCTCCCCCAGCACACTCGCATGTGCACAGCATCCCCGAGGCCCAGGGTTTGCAGACCTACTTTGGGAAACACAGTCTCAGCGAGATGTCAGTTATGCCCAAACCTAGTCCACGTCACCAGCAGACCAGTCTTGCGAAGCATCTCGTTCGAAAACATGATCCATCTAATCAGATTTTGAAAGGCTGGCTACGTGGTGTCTCTGTCCGAGCCTCGTAATAGCTCTCCATCAGAAGTGCGTTTACATTGCAAAGTCATGTTATTTCAAAAACCAGCATCAATACTCTTGCTCAATCAGTTTTACATTTTCTAATACCCACTTAAAGTCTCGTTCTACGTTTAAAACGTCTGAGTCTTTCTTAAGGTATAAACTGAGTCACGCTTTCATGTCCTGGACTCTCATCCGCTACCACCAGGCCCCTTTGCTGTAAAGGGGGGGACATGTCTTTCCCTTCGTTCACGTTCCAAGGGAGTGAAGTTGGATCGCCAGCAGGCTCTTCATGATAAAGCCTCTTGTGGCCGCGTAATCATCAAGCTGTAGCACTTCATGTTCTTTGTTTGATTTTTGGAGGGAAGGAGAGACTGTTCACCTAGAAGGAATGCAGAATTTGGCTCTGTGACAGTCTGGTTTTGGAGACATTAACAGCTGTTCTGCAGGTATCACCTTGCATTGCGTGCTTACTTTAAGCCAGGCACCAGCCTCAACTGTTTATAATCCTCACGGCAGCCCTGCAAGATGCGGGCCAGGCGGTGAATGTTTGCAGGCCGTGTAAGGTCTCTGTCACATAATCTTCGGTTTGAAAAATGTAAAAAACGTTCTTAGCTAGAGGGCTGTGAAGAAACAGTCCACAGGCTGGATGGGGCCGGCTGGCCCGTGGGCTGCAGTCCGCTGACCCCTGCTGAGGTGTAGGCCCGCCTAGTTCCCTGAGCGGACTGCTCGCAGGTGGGGAGCCTGGCTGTGAACCCAGGGACCTGACCTCTGAGCCCCAGCTCCCCGCACCCAGACTGCCGACAGCCTCAGCAACTACCTCGCAAGTGTCTTTACCCTTTGCCTGGCTGCAACCTTAACTTCTCGCGTTTCAGTTCTGAAAATTGATAGAGTCTTGGGAGAAAAGAACATTCCTTTGGTGACTAAAACTTACGTGCAATTACAGAAGAAATGTATTACGGCCATTTAGCAATGATTGTATTAGGGTAATGTTAGCTCTGTAATAAATAGACCCAAAAACGTACGATGGCTTGAACACCGAAGAATTTTCTCGTTCACGTAACACGGGGCAGGGGAGTGGGCTGGCGGGCGGCCCTCACGCAGTCACCTGGAGACCCAGGCCCACCGGGTGTGGCTTCCCAGCGCACCGTGGGCCACCTGCTGTGCAGCGGGAGGCCGTGAGCGCGGAGGGGCATGTCTGGAGGGCTCTTGAGCTGGGGCTGGGGGCAGTGCTTCCCAATTCCGCTCACCTTCCTCCAGGGAGGCCAGGGTGGAGGGGAGGGGGCGGGGCGTCAGGCGGTGCGCCTTTCGCCTGCGGGCACGCTCCCTCCCAGCGAGCCGGCGTCTGAGGTCAGGCTGGCTGGGCTGCCAGGCACCAGGCTGTGGGCAGCTCAGTCCAGAAACGTCTTGCTGGCTCCTGCCACAGCACGACCACCAGCAGCGGGGGTCCCTGCAGGCCACGCTGCCACCGCAACCGGTTCTCCCCGGTGGGGGTGGGGGCGGGGGCGGGGGCGGGGGCGGAGACCTCACAGGGGTGAGCCGCACCCGTAGGTACTTCTGCCCCAGCAGCCAGAACTCAAGTCACCGACTCGCGCCCTAACTCCAGAGGAGGCTGGGCGGTGGCCTCCTGTGCGCCAGGTGGGGAAAATGAAAGGTTTGGTGTCCCCGCCTTGTCTGTGCCTCTCACCCACTTCCTGCCCAGCTGGGCCGTCCTCCCCATCAGTCCATAACCCCCCTCCCAGTTCCCATTCACGGGTGAAGCAGGGAAATGCAATGAAAACTCCCGCTTGGAAAAAGGACGAGACACACAGTAGGCCCTGGGCGCTGGCTGATGAAATACTGCGGGGCAGGTGGGCGTCGTAAAGCCGCCTCCATGCGGGGCACGGGGGAGGTTGAGTGTGCTCTGTGGGAGGGACTCCCTCACCCACTGCTCCCCGCACCCCATCCGGCCCTCTAGGGCCCATTCTGGTCGCCTCACAAGTGGGTGCTGCGGGTGCACCCTCCCTGCAAGCTGTGTAGCTTTCACAGCCCCAATCCAAGACTTTGTTTCATTTTTCAAGCTTCTGATCCCTCTGGCAACAATTCCCTCAAAAACTTAGTAGGCTACTACTACCTGCACAGGTAATCATACCCAGAGTTCTTTTCCGGAACTCCCAAGTCCGCTTTATTTCCTAGCTTCTCTGCCTGGTTCGTGTCCCTTCCTGACCTAGTGGCAGCCGCCTGACTCTGCTATTAGTCAAAGCCGAGTCTCACTGTTGAACGGGCAAGTGTCTAAGGGGGGCCTTCGTTGCTCAAACTGATTTCCATCCTTGTCTCTTGCCGTGATGTCCAGAAGCAGTGCCTTTCCCCACATAGGAAGCCTGGGATTTCTGACTCTGCTGTTTTAGTTCTAAACCAGCACGTTTTTTGCCTGAGCGTCCGTCTCTCAGGTATCTTGTTATCAGCTGCTGCAAAGAGCAGCCAGTACCCTGTATTCTGTATCTTTGACAGCTTCTAGACTCGCTACAGTGCCCGAGGCTCCACCTTGCAAATTATAAGCAGCAATTTAACCAAGTATAACCCCAAACACCCTCCAACCTCCTAGCCACCCGCCTGCTAAGCTGACACCGTAGAGTTTAGGGTTTGTCACAGCAGTTCTTGCAAGGGTGGTTTTTTTTGTTTTGGGGGGGTTTTTTGGTTTGGTTTTTAAGTTCAAAGTGGGCTGATTTTTCCATAGGAAGCGCCATTTCCTGTTTCGCTGTGCAAAAAACAAACAAAACGAAGACTGGGGACAGTGATGTCAGTGTCTTCCAGGGAGTAAAAGGAGCTAAAGCAGGTTGTTTCCTGAACTTAGGAAAAGAAGTTGAACAGAATAAAGAAAAATGTGCAGGGGAGAACCGGTTCATTCTAGACTCCTTGTGTGGTTAGGTCGAATTTCCATCTACTCTTAAAATGACAGAATTCTTTTTTTTTTTTTTTTTTTG